GGGATTGATGTATATAGATAGGGATAGATGGTTAGGGATTGATGTATATAGATAGGGATAGATGGTTAGGGGTACAGTACTGTGCAAATGTCTCATGTTCAGTCAAATGTTTAAAGCTATTAATCTGGATAGTAAGTGGCCAGAACAAAAAAAAAATACAATGGAGCATTAAAACATATGAAAATTAGTAAGAATTTCTGTTTTTTCTGTTCTCCAAAAAGTTACTGATATCTAGTTGGATGGCTGGATGAACACCGCTTCAGTTCCCAAACCTCTCCTCAGGGGCACCTCAGCCATTCCATGTATTTAATAAATTTCACCACCAGCTCATTTAATTAATTTTTAAAAGTTTGTTGACACTGAGATATTGATTAGCTGTATAAGGTGTGCTTGGGGGTGAGTTTAAAAAAATCCAGGTTGTATTGGACGGTCGCTGCAAATACTGGAGTGATTTTAGCAGATGATTTGAAATGGCTAAGCTGACACACTTTGACAGGCATAATAGCAAGGGATTGTCATAACTGGTACCCAAGTACGCATTCACCTTTAAAAGCAATACGTGCGACAATCGAATGTTGTAACAACGTGACTGCGTACGTATTTTATGTGCATTTGGGCCAATATGACAAGAAATTGTCATGCATTTTAACCTTTATATGCGGCATTTTAACCTACTTCATTTGTGGCATAAAGGTTAAAATGCACGGTAAGTATTTGCGCTGTTGCATTAATGCATACTTGCACCCAGTTATGTCAATCCCTGATATGGCACAGTTTTACTGTAACATGGCGACCATTTCAATATAATTTTCTTTAGCTGCCTAAGACCTTTGCACAGTACTATAGATAAGGGTAGATGTCTAGGGGTAGATAGGGATAGATGGTTAGCGGTGGATGGGTAGGGATAGATACGTATAGATAGATGGATGGGTATTTAGGGATAGATTGGAATAGATCATTAAGGGTAGATAGGGATCGATGGGTAGCGGTGGATGGGATAGATACGTATAGATAGATGGATGGGTATTTAGGGATAGATTGGAATAGATCATTAAGGGTAGATAGGGATCGATGGGGAGCGGTGGATGGGATAGATACGTATAGATAGATGGATGGGTATTTAGGGATAGATTGGAATAGATCATTAAGGGTAGATAGGGATCGATGGGGAGCGGTGGATGGGATAGATACGTATAGATAGATGGATGGGTAT